TATATATGTGTGTGTGTGTGTGTGTGTGTGTGTGTGTGTGTGTAATTATGTATGTAAGTACGTATCTTTGTATGTATAGCACCCTGTCATTCCGGGGTGCTTTTATTTGGTCGCTCCTGCTGTGCTAAGGCAATACATCATCACATACACACACACATTACATACACATGTTTATACATGTGTATGTATATACACATGTATATACACGTGTATGTACATACACATGTATATTCATATACTAAATGTCTTCCTCTTCATACACACCCACAGAACAATGGCCTTCCTCGCAGAGACAGCCGTTTTTGCTTATCTGGGCTTGGCTGTGTTCAGCTTCGCTCATTCCTTCGATTGGGGTCTGATTTTCTGGTCTCTGGTACTGTGTTTTGTATCACGAGCTTTGAATATCTTTCCCCTGGCGTCTCTGGTCAACAAGCATCGCAAAGTGAAGATACCCTTCAAGTTCCAGGTAAGTCTGTACCGTTTAATCTTCAGCTGTGTATGTACTATTCAAGTACGTGGTACGGGCTGTAACATGCACTCTTCAGCTATGTATGCACCATTTATGTATGAGGCATGTTCGTATCTGTCAGTTTCTCTGTATGTTTGGTTGCAATGTGTGTATAGTCGCTCTTGTGCAGCGCCGATGTCTAACGAATGCACGAGCCATATGCACAAGACACACAGATCTCTATTGTATCCAAAACAACTCGTTTAACGTTTATATGCCCTAATATATGTCTATGTATATCTATGCATACCTATGTATACCTATATACAAGTATATACACCTACATACACCTACATACATCTATAAGCACTTCTATACATCTATATACTATACATCTATACACGCCTATACACACTTGTACACACTTACATACACTTACATACACCTATAAACACTTCTATACACCTATATACACTTCTATACAACTATATACTATACATCTATACACACCTATACACACTTATACACACTTACAAACTCCTATATACACCTCCATACAGGTTATCATGTGGTTCTCCGGACTCAGAGGAGCCATAGCCTTCACACTGTCGCTGGATCTGCCTGAGGTGCACTTTGCCGAACAGTACCGTGTGTTGGTAACTACGACTCTTGTCATAGTGATCTTCACCATTGTGGTGTGTGGTGGTTGTACGCTGCCGCTACTGAAGGCTCTGGGCTTGCAAGTGGATACCAGAGATATTGATATGAGCAAGACGGAACAAATGGTGTGTGTGTAGGAGAAGTTTGGTACGCGTGTGTGTGTATGTCTGTACATGTGTGTATGTGTTTGTGTACAGGTGTGTAAGTATGTGTGTACATGTGTGAAGGTATGCGTGTGTGTATTGAGCAAGACGGAACAAATGGTATGTGTGTAGGAGGAGTTTAGTATGTATGTGTGTATGTGTGTATGTATGTATGTGTGTGTGTACATGTGTGTATGTATGTGTGTACATATGTGTAGGTATGTGTGTGTATTGAGCAACACGGAACAAATGGTATGTGTGTAGGAGGAGCTAAGTACATGTGTGTGTATATGTGTGTGTATATGTGTGTGTGTATTGTATGTCAATGCACTTGTTGTGGCGATCGTTAAGCAGTGGATTGTACGTTTATGTTGACATCAGTGCTACCTAGTAACTGGGGTACGTTTTCATTGGTATAAATTTATGTCTTTAATTGTACACATTTGTGTCTTTATTCATACACATGTATGTCTTCATATATACACATTGATATCCTCGTAGGGAGAGGTAGTAGACGCGCTGCAGATGGAAACTGAAGAGGCCAAGATCATTCAACGCGAAAAGAACGATCTGTTCATGCAATGGGATGCCAAGTATTTCCGTCCCTTCTTCTGTCGACGTGTGACCAAACGGTATGAA